CAGTCAAAAAAATCATGATTGGAACTGCAATATTTACTGATGGACAGCATACTTCCTAGTCTGAAATGGCATTAAACTAAATCCCTACCAGATTTAACAAAGTGCTATAACTAAGTGCTTTACGTTTTCTTAAAATTAAGTGCTTAATTGTTTTCTATTACCGGCTTATCAACATTCACAGCTAACTTACACCTTCCCGTTCTGGTTAGAAAAATTGAAATAAATGCTTACTATCACTGTATTTCTGTTCCAAAAATGCCCCCAAATTTCTGATATCTTACGGAAAAATGGGCAAATTCACAGGAGAATCTATTAATCAGTACGCCAATCAGTTTATCTTATCATAGCAAATATTAAGTTTAAACTCTGTAACTAGTCCTTCATTTCATATTCATAAGAATTCGTGCCGATTTTGACCTTCCGTTTCTTTTCGGCTTTTCAAAGAATTTATTCCACAGCTGAGCAGGACTCCGGAGAAAATCATGATCCACAAGCTGCTTTGCATTGCCTTTTTTTAAATCAATTTTGCTATTACACTATCATCACACATATTTCACATTCGATATGCTAGAATACTTGTCTTCGATTCGATTGCAGTAAACGGGTTCACAGTCAGTTTATATACACTGGGATGTGCCCAGTTGCAGGTTACATATTGCCTTCCCAATCCACAGTATTAACAAAAAGACAAAAACAGTACCTTGCTTCAATTTAGACATAGAATTTTGACATTCAACATAGAACCACAATTAAGGAACCATGCCCTGAGACATATTTTCCACTGCAGAAGCATGCCTGATATTTGTTTACAAAAGAAACAATACTTTTGTATTATTTTTTTGTAACAATACAAGAAGAAACAGCCAGCAGCCATATCACCCTGCAGCTCCAAGCTGGCAGCCCCACTGGAGCTCAGCAGGTGTGAGCCTGGTCAGTACCTGGGTGGGAGACTCCTGGGAAAAACCAAGGTTGCTGCTGGACGAGGTGTTAGTGGGGCCAGTAGGGGGCGCTCACCCTGCAGTC